GGTGAAATGTGACTGATGAAAACTTAGGAGCTTAATCCCACACCAGTTTGATGATGAATAACGTCGGATGACGACTCTGACCTTTATTTTTTCTTTTCCACATTGGACTCCACCGAGAAGAAATCCCGTGCATACTGCCTGCTTAAATGTTCACTACGTCAGAACTTATTCGGCAAATGTGTTTCTATCTCTGCTTTTGTACATTAACTCTTACAGGATGGGGGAAATTGGTCTTGGTGGAGGTTTTCACTCTCTGAGTGCTTCTAAGTATTGGATGGATTTAACGAGACGACTTTCTCTCTCTCAATTTTACAGATGGTGGAACTCTGTTGTGGCAATTGAGAACTTCAATCCACAAATTTCAAACCCCAAAATACATTAGAAGACTTTCAAAGACGAGTGCCTTTCATGGTTGTTTTCAAAAACGTTCCAGTGCTTTAAATTGATTGTTTTTCAAATTTAAAACTTTCAAGGATTTCAAGGACCAATGGGAACCCTAGAATGACAAAAAAAAATTTGAAAGAAATGCAACATGTTCAATCACACTGAAATCCCTTTGAAAAACATTGAATATGCATCTGATTGAATACAACCTTGCTTGATTTGAAAATATTTTGTCTCCTTCAGATTGTCATATTTTGGCAAAAAAAAAAGGGCAGAACAAAACTTATTCCGGTCACTTTTGCCTGCTGTGTAAATACAGAAATATACAGTCAGTAATCTCAGTCTTCAATGATGAAATAGAAATTCTCTTATTTTATGGTTTTCAAACTGCTGGCCTGATTTCTCTTTGTTTTGTTGCACATTCGGAAAAAAAAACACCAGATGATGTCTGCATTTGTAGCAATGCGTGACTGAGACCAACCAAAATCTTTGTGGGGACGTACCCTGCTCACCCTCAGCTGTGTCCTCACAGTGCTGATTGAAGCTGTCGTACGAGTCCCAGCGGATCAAAGGATCCTGGGTGTTGTAGTCGACAGAAACACTCGGACCGTTCTCCAGGTGACCAAGACCTGGAGAAACACAAAGGTGTGGTGGATAAGATGGCTCTGACAGACATTAGGTGTGGTTTGCACAAGAGACTTTTTGCCATTGAATTAGCAGATTGGGTCAAAATGTTTGCATATATTTTATTAACTTTAACAACCCGTTTGTCCTGTGAAGAAAAAAAAAACTTTACTTATTTCAGAAACAAGTGGGAATACCTTTGATTTTTTCAGGTGCGTAAGAGAAAACAAACTCCACCTTCCCGTATTCTGGGAACCTCTCATCTGTACAGACAGACAGACAAACAGACAAACAAACAAACAAACAAACAAACAAACAAACAAACAAACAAACAAACAAACAAACAAACAAACAAACACACAAGCCTTAGTTATTGAGAAAAAGGAGCAAAACAACAGAATTTGTCAGAACCCATTTCAAGAGTCTTGTGCTTTACACACTGTTCTCATTGCTTTCAACGTTCACCTCCAATAGCTAATTAAAGAAACAAACTAATTGAATGTTTGCTCTTTACAAATGCTTTAGTAACACCCCTTCTCCAATGTTTTTAAATCTTTTTCTGTTTTTTTTAAATGAATGCTAAGCTGTTTATTGCCACCAGAGGACCCTGTTCTCCATGAATTCAGTGTCTTTTGCCGCCACACAAACTGCCACACTGAGAGCAAAAATCAAAACATGAACTCACAAAGACTAAGAAACAGAAAAAACGGTCTGTCTTTTTGCATTTTCTCAAACCGGACGTTCAACACCGTCGCCAACGTTGGATTTGGATTGTGAAATGAAAAACAAATAACCAAAGAGTGCACAGAGCATTAAAACACTTCAGGCATTTGTTTGCGTTTTGATCCTAAAGGGCCAGTATTATGTGTTTCAGGTTCAGTTCTATACCATAATAAAGAAACAATGTCACCTTCACTTGTTATTAAAATGCTGTTTATTTGTGTCAAAAATAAACTTGACTTCATTTTACATTTTTAAACACCTTGAAATTGGCCTCTGTCTCTTTAAGAACCTCCTATGATTCTATCACGCCAATTTCAGCACAACAGCTTCATGCCGTTTACATCCTGGAGCATCGCAGCAAACTTTGTTGTAGTGATAATAATAAAAAAGCAGCAACATTATACAATATCTGTTTTGGAAAATTGCAACTCAGGATAAAATTGAACCTTACTGTTGGATCGGAAAATATGTTTTCTGAAGAACCGGAACGAGTAGAGTGACGATGTTTAGCTGGTAAGATATCTCCCAGTCGTGCTCACAGACACACATGTCAATGTTAAACTAATGTATTTATTACTAAAATGTGGTGTAAGCCAACTAAAGTACACAGATTCTAATATAAGTTACGATGGTAACCATAGATCACAGATAGACCAAACAATCGAACAAAAAAAAAACATGAGTTGTTTTTCAGCTCACCTGTGCAGACGAACACTAATAAACTCTTAAGATAGTCTAGTTTTTGTTTATTTTTGCAGACATATGCAGAAAAAGAAGCTTTACCTTTGAAGGTTTCGTCGAGCTCGTTCTTCCCAAAAACCACTCCGAGGTCGTGGATGGCACAAGTGTGAAACTGCACCCTGAACACCACGTCTCTGGTCGAGTTCCTGTACTTCTTGTGGTAACACTTCAGCTAATTAACAGGAAAGAGATCAAAAAGGGGTTCAGCTCATGCAGTCATTTAACAATTTATTTTTATTGTGGTTCCAAAGTTATCAACGCAGAAAGTTCAAAACTTTTTGCTGTTACATCACAGGTAACTGAAGTATGTGTTTGGACCAGGAACTGCACACTGAACACATCAAATAGCTGTGCATTCACAGGCAATGTTTCCAGTTGATGTTGCAAAGTTCTGTGTTGATAACTTCAGACCCACAAAATATATTGCAATTCTGACAGCAGCAATCCATTTCTGAGACAGTTATGATCTTCTTTGATATGCTACATGACCCCATTCCCATTGGAAAATTTTAACTTTGATCCAATATGGCAACTTTCAAGATGGCGGTCGTGTTCTGGACATAACAAAAAAGATAGACCCCCTCACACACGACTTGCTGGGGTATTGAGATAATTAATTTTCTTTATCTGTTCTGAAATAAAAGGGTGTCCTGAGGCTTTTGACTTAAGCTTCATTTAGTTTTTTCAAATCTCTTACCAAAATATCTCCTTTCAGTAGCAGTCCAGGTTCGATGGTGATACAGATACTGGTGTTGCTGTCTCCTTGCACATTACTGCCATAAAAGACATGAAAAACCTTTAAAATCCATGCGCAGATGACTTTATGATGCTTTTCTATGCCCTAAGTTCAAACACAAACCACACTGAACTGGAATAAAAGTTTCCATACTATATTCCTGATGTATAGACTGGTTGCATTGCCTGGTAGATCTTCAGGAAGGGACGGCAACCTGCGAAGTGATGGAAACAAGAGATTTGGGTCAAAAAAGCGATAGTGAGTATAGGTGCAGCAATACATGTATCTGTATCAAAACCATTTAGGTTCAATACGCACTATGTACCGAACAATACAGATTTTTAAATTTTATTTTATCAACATGTCTTCTGAAGATGCTCTGTGTTGAAGGCTCAGTGGATCTGTGTTCGACTACTCCACCTAGGCTGCACTGCTGAGCGCAGATCCACTGAGAAACTTGCTGTTTCAACAACATTTGATTTAAAAACTGTACTTTTGAGGTTAAACAAATGTTCATAATTAATTTAAATAAATTACAAGTTAAGAACAGCATGGAAATTTCTCCGTTTTTGTATAAAAAAAAGGTCGAACCGTGACACAAAAGTATCAAACTGAACAGAATCTTAAATTTTCTGTATCGTTGCAACCCTAGTAATGTTTTCTTTGCAGATTTTTTTGTATAGGGGAAAAAAACATTAAAAAACCCCACCACCACCACCACCACCAAAAATAATAATAATAATAAAAAAACAAACCTCCTTTAGATTCAAAGTTGGGTATGCCATGCATGATGACATGATGCAGGAAGAGAGGCTTATTATTGATTTTGATGTGCCCAGACAGGAGGCCGTTAAAGTATCGGACGTATCTGCAGCCAAGAAAAGAGAGAAAACTTTTGAATTTTATATACACAAACCAAAGCCATTTCATATTTGTAACAGTAATTCTAAAGGATTTTTTTGAAGAAAAAAATACTAACATCATTTACATATAATACATTTAGACAATTTATTTAGTTTGTTATTTTATGTCAAAATAAATAAATGTTCCTAAAAAAAATGTTCTTGTAAGGGATGACTAAGAAATCTTGTATTACTTGAGCAGAAGATGTCATTAAAGCAACAACATCACACAAATCAGTGGCAGCTACATGATACAAAATAAATAAATAAATAAATAAATAAGCAAATAAACAAATAAATAAATAAATAAAAACAGCGACAGTACAAAAGTTATTTTGTTAGAAGTGACAAAGTGAGTCCAAACCAAGGTTGGCAACTGGCCATTGTGGCTCCTTCCTTTATTTATGTTGCCCAGACATTTTAGAGAGGGTTTTTTTTGTGTAAAAATAATAAACAACTCACATATTACTAATAGATTATTCAGTTTAAATCTGAAAATGCTGATCTATCGGCTATTAGGAACGCAGTCAAAACCAAAGTAAGTTTTTGTTGTCTTAAAACAACTCCATTATCTAATATTTCATAATGATGAATGCTCTATCTCTATTTTAGAACCCTCTAAACCAGAGGTGCCCAAAGTGGGGCCCGCGGGCCAATTTTGGCCCACCAAACCATTTGATTTGGCCCACCAGCAGTTGTCCTGCTTACTAGATTGTGATTATTTTCAGAATAAATATAAAAATACAAGTCAGAGACATTTAGATTAGATTTAAGCTCATATCTAGATTTGCACACCTTAAAAAACCACAAACTCAGATTTTAAATTATGTATAGTTTCATGAGCCTTTACTGCCTGAGCATACATTGAATTTTCCAAAAAGAAATAAAAAGAATGTGGGCAACCACACTGGCTGCTAGCTTAATCATAAAAATAAAACAGCTTCACTTAAGAAGTATTTGCATTTCTTATAGTATTGCATTTGGCCCGCGGCCCTCAGATTAATTTTAATTTCGGCCCTCTTAGAGAAAATGTTTGGGCACCCCTGCTCTAAACTGCCATCAGTTTTGCATTAAGTGGTTATTTACATGGAATCCTACGACTAGAAGCATACAGTAAATAACATGTCACTATCCCTGGATGCCCAAGAAATGCTGTATCCTTTACACCACCGTACACGTCCACATAAACACCTGTACAACACAAAGCTGGTGTTAATGGTTTGTAAAGTAACATTTGTCTGAATGGTAATGAAATATTAAGGATTGGAAATGGAAATAATTCAACTGTACAAGTACACTGAGATCTCTTCAATTGCTGCTTCAGCTCTGTTTATGTCTTATGTTATTTGTTGTTTGTAGCTAACATTCTGCAACTTTTCGCTTTTAACTATTATTCTACTAATCTCAACATTTAGCTAACATTTTATTATTTTAGCTCTAGCTAGCCTTTTACTACTTTTAGCTTCTGCTACTTATTGTTTCTAACTACAGCATTTTGCCATTTTTAGCTTCAAGTCATCCTTTTGCTACTTTCAGCTATTAGCTAGCTGCTTATGATGTATGCCTATTGTTTAGCAAATGATTAGCTTTTAGCTATGATTTGCTTTTTTAGCTTATAACTACTGTTCTGCTTCTTTTAGCTTGAACAACTGAGTTTCAGCTTCTTCAGTCCATTTCAGCAACCATTCAGCCCTCAGCTTTGAATTTGCACAGAAAGTTCACTTGTTTTAGTTATTTAAGATTTTTACATAGAAAACTACCTCAAAATAGCTGCACCATCCCTTTAAAGTAAACAGGAGCTAATTTGAAGCATTTTGGCCAAAATAAGTGCCTCAGTAAATTAACTTTTTCTGTTGGGGCTACTTTTGCAATATATTCCTAACCTTTGAATAAACATAATGGGATTTCCACAGTATATACTTTACCTTATTATATGTCCTTTTCTGGTAAATTTTCTAAATGAGTTTCATAACAGCCCAAGAATATATATTAGCACATGTCTGGAACAGAAAATGATAACTACTGGAAGTGAGGTAATAAATATTTTACCTTATTTGTGACGGCTGACCAACAGGAAGTGCTTTGTCCTCATAGAAACGCCTCATGGCGAACCTGTCTAACGCCTGGTCAGCACTGCATGAAATACAATTTAAATATTAGCACTGATCAAACCATTTATAAAAATGGTTACAAAGAGATAAATATCTTTCCACCCTCACAGACTTAAAAATCCCCCCAAGCCTTCATCATTTTGAAAGTAGCTGTAAGTCCTTCAGGCTTTTCCTCCATCCTTAACATCTGGTTGCATTAAAGAATGATGACATTTTCTCACTACTTTTTCTCTCACTGAGCCAGAAAAATAAACCGGCCAGGATAGAGTGTTAAGCTAAAACACTACATCAGTGTTTAATTTTCAGCAGACTTCAAGGCCTCACTTTGATGAATTTCTTCTCCTGTCCTTACACGACCCAGTCAGGAGGAGATCTAAAGGATAAAAGTGCTTAAACACCTTTTTTATTTTCAAATCTGACAACCAGAAATCTGCTGAGCAGTGCTGCGTAAACCGTGCTCAGGCAATTAAAAAAATAAAAATTAAATAAAACAGAATCTAGGTACGTTGGACGTGTCCATATAAAATCACGTTTGATACCTCGCAGATATGTTGCTGTAGTGCATGTACGCAGCCACCACCACGCCTGTTCGCCCTCGATTCCCCTGAAACAAAGAAACGGAACAAAGTCTCAAAAACACAAAACAATGATGTGATATTTACTTTGGAAAGTGGTAAAAACCATATACATATTTTCAGAGCAACCAGGATGAGAATCAGTAAAATTTTAGAACCTGGTCCTCAGTCAGAAAAGAGTGAATTGCTCTCTCTGGGTTGGGAGTGAGGTTCTACCTAAGTGGTGGAGTTCAAATCTCTTGGGCTTTTGATTACGAATGATGGAAAAATGGAGCTATGAGGTTCATAGACAGATTGGTGCATCTTCTGCAGAATTGCGTACTCTGTACTAGTCTGTTATGGTGAAGAAGGAGCTGAACTGTAAGGCAGTCAGTATTCAATCTTCCTACCCTTACCTATGGCCACAAACTTTGGGTAGTGACAAAAAGAACCAAGATCGCGGATACAGACGATTGAAATTCTCCGCAGTGTAGCTGGACTCTTCCTTAAAGACAAGGTGAGAAGTTCAGTTATCTGGGAGAGACTCAGAGTAGCTCCTCCACATCAACAGGAGCCAGTTGAGGTGGTTCAGGTATCTGGTAACTCCTACAGCACCTAACTAGGGAGGTCCTTCAAGCATGTCCCATAGAGAGGCGACTCCGGGGAAGACTCAGGACATGCTGGAGAGATCATGTCTCCTGTCTGGCCTGGGAATACGTTGAAAGCCTCCTAGAAGAGCTGGAAGAGATGGATGTGGGAAGAGAGGTCTGGGCCTCCATGCTCGAGCTGCTGCCCTCAAGATTCGATTTTGGAACAAGAGGACGATGGATGGATGGATCTGCCTGTATGTATGATATGTTTTGGGGAACTAACGAATGACAAAAGCCTATTTATGTTATTTGTAGTGGTGTCCTGATACCAGTTTTTACAAGACTGAGTACAAGTACGAGTACTTCAGTTTAGGTACTCACCGATACCGATACCAAGTAGCGGGGTTCATGTGGATTATCTGTTCAACTTGTTGAATATTAAACAGAATGAAAATGAAATGCAATTATCATGCAAAAAAATTGATGGGTAAATATTATGTTTGACAATAAAAAGGTAGTGCAAACTCTGCCAAGTAGATAAGTTGGTATATATATCACACCATAACTTTTGAAACCATTTATTTTATTTCAAACAGGCTCTTTTTTATAAGGCCACACTCCCTCTGAATGTATTAACAATACAAATACTGCAAAACAAATGCTGTTGCATACATTAAAAAACAAAATAAGTTATTTTTATACATTTTACTCAACATGCAACTACCAAATTTAAATTAAAATGTAAATTTTAGTAGCACATCTATAGAAGTTTACTCTGCTTCAGTCTTAAACTGTTTAAAAAATGACAATAGTAATAAAGTGCAGTAAATTTCAGTTCAAACTTAAATGGAACAACTAAAACAAAATCTCAGAAGAACCACAGTGAAAAATAAAATGCTTTTATAACAAACTTCCTTCCATATTCTGYTTATGTCTTAGTTTGTTCTACAAGAAAGAAAAAACAGCATTGAAGTTACTGCAACAACAGTGCTGTTGAAGGCTACTGCTAGCAGCAGCAAACTCTGAATTCTTTGTCATGTCTTGTCCTCAAATGTTTAATCAAATTGCTGGTGTTAAAACATCCAACTTTCGCTCCTCCCCTCGACAGTTTAGCAGAGCACAGCAGACAGTCTGCTTGTTTGGTGTCCTCCATGCCGATCTTAAAATATCTCCAAACTGCCGACATGTTACTTCTTCTTCTACCGTCATCGTTCTTCTTCTGTTATTCGGGGGTGCGGTCAGAAATAACTTGTCAGTGCGTTAGCACCACCGCCTGGTTTGGATTGTTGTTTCCCCTTTGTGCTGCAGCGCAGCACAGGAGGGGACAAAAGCGGTATCGGTTAAGAGTATCGGTCGGCTTTTACGAGTACAATTATGAGTACTTGATGCCGGTATCGAACCCGATACCAATACTGGTATCAGTATCAAGTACAAATAACTTATTTGTACTGTGTACAAATCTTAAACTAATATTTTTTTGGCCGAAACACAAGCAAGAAAACTGGCTGAAGACCACACTCATTGACATGAGCCTCTACGAAACCCTAATTGGTCAGCCTTTACGACAGAGATATTCTTACCTTGTTGTGGAGTACCACCACATTGCGCTGGTCTCCGCTGAGCCATGTGTCGATGGCCTTGCACATGCTGCAGATCTTATCCAGCGCTGGAGCGTGGTGATCTGGCCAGCCAAACTCTAGAACCTAACGAGGATTGTTATAAATATTTAGGGTTGCAGTCCTTTAAATAATAATACTCACATAGCAACCATGTTTCTTTTTCTCTGGTATCATGAAACAAAAACACAGCTGCTGAGCTGTTTGTACCTTGGGGTTTAGCTTTGATAAATCACTCCTCCGCTCGCTGAGGTTAAGCATCTGAAAGCAGAGAACAAACATCAACTCGCTGGAGTAGCATGAACGAATTTAAAGACCGGGACATTGAAGTCTGGTGATTCTAACGTTTGATTTTTCTCACCAGATAGTGTTCGGCGTGCTTCGACCTCAGCATAGCTGCCACCTCCTTGAGGTTGTTGGTGTAGCTGCGCTCCTCGGCCCCAGCGGGGAATGACAGAGAGATGATCCTCTCCGTGATGTAAACCAGATCCACCTCATAGCTTTCCTCCATGGCCTGAACCACGCTCTGACTTCTGAAGAGTCGGCAGGAAGAGACATTTTGTTTTGAACTTTTCCACCAGTCAAACCTCAACCACATAAATTAAATGTTTTTTAAGGAAAATATTTAGAAGGCCCTTGCCTTCTTGATAAAAACAAACGGACTGTGGATGGGCATGTCATCCAGCTGTTAAAGAAGACAAACTAGACAGGTGACTTTAATTCAAATCTGCCAAATTCCTGTGCAAAATAAATTTTAGTACTTTGAGTAAGGCTTCATTTATACTTTCATTATCAAGTCTTGCTTACAGTCTTCTTCAGTGACGAAAAAAATAAATTTCCGACAGTCATCTCCCCTTGACTGTCTGTCTCGTACATTGCCCTGAGTCAGAACTTGGTTTTGCAGACCTATGCAGTTTCCAGTGGTGATTGGTCAAAACTTTGTGAGCATGATTGTTTATGCGGAGCAGCTTGTGCTTGTACATATCTGCTCCCAGAACCCAGAAGCCAGTTGTTTAAATTAGCAAAATGGACAGTTTTGAGGGGCGCCTGGTTCTATTGAGCATGTGAATGTGTAACCATTGCCCACGTCCACGGTTAAAAAGAAAGAATTGGAGTTTTTCCTCCTTAAAACCCTCTTACAACCACACGCCCTTCTTAAAACGTCACCAACAGTGGCGTGTGCTGGTCTTTCAAGCACGGGAAGCTCAATTTCAGCCTACATTATAAAATGTGTCGGCTTAGTTGTACGGAAATTCTACCCTGAAGTGTGTTCGCCTGTGAGTGCTTTGTGACGGTAAAGGGGCTCAGCAGCATCCACTGGACAGAAACTGTGATAGACGTCAGAAAGAGTGATAGAAGTCTGTCTCCAAACGCAAGCAGCTACAAAACAACCACCAGAAATAGAAGCTTGATTTGTTGCTAGTCGTTTTTTAACAGACAAAACCCAGCTAAAGGATTAATAAAGTCTCTGGTTCAACTCAGAACAGAATGAAACTAAAAAGTGCACCCACAGATGTTTACACCAAAATATTGCTGATTCGTGCATTTCGCTGTCAATCAAAAAGGGATTCAGCCTCAGACAGATCATCCAATCATCATGCAGAAGCTGAGCGTCCGGGCCAGTCCACTGCCACATAGACCCCCAGAGACGCTGAGTGTCCGATGGGCGGGACAAAGCCCAGCATTTATCCAATGACTCGTCTTGTTTCGCTGCAGTCTTTGCATCGCTAATGAGCTCTGTGGAAGCTCAGCGTCCGACTGTTTAAAGCTCTGTGAAGCTGCGGGAATGAGGGAGAGGAGAGCCTCGTTACCAGTGATAAGAAGCTGATTCTGAACAAAAGTTGAGCGCGTTGTAGCGCATATTTAGTTAATGACATGTACAGTCAACATTATATATTTGATCACTTTTTTTTTTCATTTTAAGGGAAGCTGAGCTTCTTAGAGCAGTCTTAGAGCAATCGCCACTGGTCACCAAATAAAAACCCAATTACCTATCCTGCTATCACTGTTGTGTTTATATGCTCCACTAAGTGTGACGTATGCTACATTGGGACTGCTGTGGGAGAGATTTTGATGATTTATCTCCTGCGTACTTTATCAGACTATAAACACAACACAAAAAGACGTCCAAAATGACATAATCACTGATCTGCTGACTCACGTCTTGTTTAAGTATAAACCAGGGTTAGAATCTCAAATCAAAGACAGGATAATCACATCACATCTACCAGCTTTGGTCACTCCAATCTTATTTTAGTCTTTGTTATCTGGTGTAATTCTTACAGCAGCTGGGAGAATATTTATAAAACCCTCAGGTTTCTCTCAGGAGAAGATTGCAATCACCCACTTGATCACATCTAAACTCCTTCCACTCAGCCATATGGTTCATGGAAAGGCGAATATTTACATTCCTTCCCTGACTGTTGACGTGACCTCCACAGATGTTCTGCAGCTTGTTTCGCTCGTCGAATTGCGATCAGGTTTGTTAACTGGTAGGCACGAGTGACTCCTTTAATTTCAAATTAAATTTGAACAATTTTCTAGTGAGTTGTGTTTATTCTACTTGGGAAAACAGGCTTTTAGTTTATCTTTTCTGCTAATTTGTGTCAAGTCAAGCTTACCTTGACTGCTTTCGTCTTATCTCCACACTTTTGCAGGACCTTGTAGATCCCTGACACATAAAGAGAAGAAAGGAGAAAATAATAATAATAATTAAACTTGATCTGTGAATGGGGATTTTGTACCGTTTGACATGGTTTGTAGAGGAAAAGTCAGATCACAGAAGCAAAACAGTTTTTGGAAAGAGAGTGAAAGATGGTGAGAAGTAAAAAATACATTTGAGAAAAAGGAAAATAATGACAACACAAGGAAATGTAATAGGACATGTTGAAGAAACCAATTAACACACACTGAGTCAAACAAAAAGGGGAAGTTTAAGAATAATAAATATTTGAAATTAGAAAATGTTAAAAGAAAAAGGGTAATGATATCAAAACAATAAATACACAAAAATTTACAGAAAAATAATAATTCCTCCATTTTTCTTTGAAGAGAGTTTCCTGACTTCAACAAACTTTAATCACTCCTAATAAATACTGATCAATAATTAACCTCTTTAAACACAAATGACAGCAATGCAGATGAAAATGTTTAAGCAATTTTTGAGTTAACAAAAACATCCAGTACAAAAAAGGTTTTTATGGGAAAAAATAAATCATGATTGCTTTTTTTTTATCTTAATAGCTTTTAATTTTAGTCCAGTTCATTTAATTATGTTTTATTTTACCAAATAAACCCACTTTTCAAATAAAAATGTAAAAAGTAATAAATTTAAGAAACTATATAGTTGGAAAATTGAAAATAAAAACATTTTAAAAATGTAATAATTGAATCTAATATATCCTTGATTTTAAAAAGCATGGGCAACTAAATCAGGGACAATATAAAAATTTAAAAAAATAAAAAATTAAATTTATTACCAATAACGTCTGAACCAAATGGGTTGTAATTTACTCAGCCTGTTAGGCGCTACCATTGTCAGCTTTAAGAGAAAAAAAACATTTTCCAAAAACATGAATCCCTCATTCCCCACCAAAAAATTTCAAAGCAACAGCTGGATTTATATCTGTGTTTGGCTTTTCACCTGTGAAAAGAAGCCAGTGTTCATTTTTTATTTTTACTGTTAAGAAGTTTAACTGTGAGGCTGCAACACTCAAGGTTAAACACACAGAGCGAAGCTAAAGCTAATCCCCCCTCCGCTTCCCCCAGGAGCCTAAATGGGAGGCATAATTCTCAGCAACCTGACAGAAACCAGATGCCTGACCACTGCCCAAGAATGTTAGCAAAATAAAACCCCTGTTCACATGAGGCCACTACAGCACAGGAGCAAACTGCTGACTCAGGCTAACATAAATGCTATTAACCAGTCTACATTCAATTTTTGAAATGGGGTCCTTTGGAAAAAACGATCAACAATGAATCTACCTGTTGCTGATGGCAGATTAAAGAGTAACTTACCCCAAAATTAACTTTTTTTAGCTAATAAACTGTCTAGAATGTGTCTAAAATGTTATATAGTACTGTTTCTGTGCTAATTTTGATGTTGTTGTGCGCATTTGTTCAAACCTGAAATATTTGGTCTAAAAACGTGTTTTTGCTGCTCATATGGGTAGAGCAGTGGTACTGCAGGCTAATTTGCATATTGGTTAATGGCTCTCCACGGTGACGTGGTTCTGCACAGTTTCATCACAGCGGCTGTGTTCTGGTATAAAAGCCTCTCTCTAAGACACGCCCCTGCAGCAGTCAGAGGGTGGAACAGTTAGCAAGCTTAGCATGATCGTCTGTTGACCTTCAGCACTCACTCACACACACACACACACACACACACACACACACACACACACACACACACA